AGCAAGGCCCGTTGACAGGCAAGAGGAGAGCTCTATTGCCATCTGGTGGACAGAGGAGGAATGACAGCTTACGTCTACTAATAACAAAGACATCGTGACGCACAACCAGACTGCACTTTTTTTTTTGTCTGAAGAAAAGATGCCAATGTCAACATATAAAAGTATGTTCTTGCCAAATGTGAATTTTATTTCTGCAGCACAACAACAAAAGTAAAAGTAAAAAAAATAAAAAATAAAACAGTTTGAGTGAAGGACTCTAGAGGTGTAAAGTTATACTAAAATTTGTATAGAGTCCTTTTAATCAGGTTAAAAGTTACGTTGTCATAGAAACAAACATGTACTTTCAAAATGTAGTCATGGGATCAAAGTGGAGCATAAAAGATGAAACCATCGTGGAAGTAAAAATTAGAAAGAACCTGTAATAAGTCATTAAGGGAGCCAAGCTACCATGGTCAGACATTTGCTAAGTGCAACCTAATCCAGGTTTAAATATCTTTTAAAATTGTATTTTATTTATTTATTTGACTCTAGATTTTTGACTCTAGTTTTCTTTATTTAGCCACCAACTGAGCCACCGAACGCCCACCAGGTTTTAATTTCAGTCAGCCAGTCGCAGGCAGCGACAGTGGGTTAATGAGGTTTCACTTAGCAAGTGGAACAGAGAAAAGGTACATTGTGCACTAAAGACAAACACCAGAGGCAAACAGATGTGCGAGTTGTATTTATTAAAAACCAAAGCTACCATGAAAAAAAAAATACAAAAATGAAAAATAAAAAAAGGTTGAAACTGATGGGGCTTCCAAAAACAAAAATCCTTTATTTCTGACTGTAAAGTTTTATAAATATTCCTGGAAGATTACATTAGTTGGAAAGTTGGAATACAATCTATTTTTTTTCCCCAGTACATTCTAGTCATAATGTTTCCACATGATCAAAGGAAGTGCTGCCCCCTTGTGGTCATCAACTGTTTTGACGCAACCAAAACCCCCAAATTGTTTTTTTCCTTTTTTTTTTTTTTTTTTTTTTGCTATTTAAAAACTCATGTAATCACATATTAAAACAAAATTCGTGGTTATTTAAACCAATAGAAAATCAATCTTTGGAGAAATTTAATTTATCAGCACCTAAAAAAAATGAAATAGAATCCAAAAGTGTGGTGATTAGTTAGGATTCAATGAAATTAGTTTTACAAAATTCCTCAAAACTGGATTTATGGTTTGTTTCTTCATGATCGCAAATGAAAAAGATTCAAAAGGAGTTATTGATCCCCTATTTACTCTTTGTAAACATAATGTTATTTTACCCTCAGTATAGTAAAAAGTTGCCTTTAAAGGGAAGAAAAAGTGTCATTTCAAAATCATCTGAGACAAATTATGGATTAAGAGTTTTATTTTTATTTTTTATTATATATATATATATATATATATATATATATATATATATATATATATATATATATATATATATATATATATATATATATATATATATTGACCATGAGAAACATAACACAGTTAGAATAAGAAAAAGTGTTAATAACTACCATAGGATGCAGGAGATAAAGAGAAACAACAGTGACAAACCAACAAAAAAAAAAAAAGAAGGGAGAAAAAAAACAGTAGGAGAAAAAAAACAGGAGGAGAAAAAAACAACCAACAGTGCTCTATGTTGGGGGAAATACATTCTTTTGTGCAAAAACTATACATCCATCTACTCAGAGGCAGCCAGGCCTCTCTGAGAAATGAAGAGAAAGGGGGAGGGGCAAATTGCGTCCTAGCAACCAACTGGCGTCCTAGCAACCAACTGATGTGGAACCTGAACAAGGAATCTGAGGTATTTCAACGACACTGGGAGGAAAGGAATCGTTTCCGTAATGCCCATGCATTGCCCAGACCGTGTGCGAACGCCATCTTTGTAATATATTAATAATACATATATGAGAAATAGATATCATGTGTTTTTTTTTTGTTTTTTTTTGTTTTTTTTACAAAGGTGTTCCAAAATACACAGGTAATATCAGACTGTACGAAAAAACAAAAACAAGAATAAATCTGTATAAACATTAAAACCTTGTATAATCAATATATTCTTTAATATTCCATTTTTGTTTGGTCTTTAGTAAAGAATGTCAAGGTGTTCCACAGTAAAAGACAACTCCATCCAGTTAAAAACATTATAAATGTACATTCATGGCTCGGCCTGCCACTGGGTTGGGTTTTGTTTCAGAGGAGAGCCTTTAAGAACCCCACGACTCGACTGAACCAAACCAAAACAGCTAACAATTGGAAAATTGTTCAAAGTTTTTAATAATTTGCTTCAAATTGAAACTCGGAACATTTTCTAACTGTAAGGAAATAGTTTTCTTTATTTAAAATGTACAGGTTTAGTTTATGTGATGTGCCAAGGTGTTATCTGAGATAGTGATCAGTAGTCAGTGTCTTACCTGCAGGAGAAAAAGATGTTTTCTTTCTTTTTATTTTTATGAATTTTGAGATAAAGAAAATAAATTCTCACGTGAATGTAAGGCTAGCAGTTGCCAACAGCAACTCCAGAGTAAAGTTATACAATCCATCAAGTGGTACTGAGTCAAACCTACCAATATGAATATTTGTTAAAAGTGTCACAGCCTTTTCAAATGACCTGTCTGTTGTTCTAGACGGTTTGGTCTGACTAGCTGCTGAATTTTTTTCAATTTATCCATTTAATTTTTGAGAGAAATTTTGTCTCCTGCAAGCAAGGGATGACTTACTGCTTCATTTGAGAAACTAGCCATTTAACTTCAACGATGGACAATTCAGACTTTATATTCACATAGTGAATTAATTTACACTTCAGAAACTAACAGAGCAGCAGTTTGAATGATAATTTCAGACTTCTGCTGAGTTAAAAACAGTTTTTCGCCAACATGATGTACCCGCTTATATTTTAGTCTCATTTTAGAAGAATCAAATCTAGAAATTAAACTAGCACATGTACAGATCACAATAAAGTTCAATCAGAAAGAAGCAAAACACTAAGCTAACCATAATCTCCCGCATTTTTCTGCTGTCGCCCTGCATTTTAGGCAGTCATCAACATATATTCAAATTGTGGTGTCAAAACTGAGGACTGGCAAAAACGATGGACATTTCTCAACTTGTTCAATGCACCATCGCGGTTATGTAGCCACATGTGTACCATAATGTTGGCACATCGTAACTGTAAGAACGCTTAGACAGAGTCTGTTTCTGTGGCAGCTGCAGAGTTCTGCTGTGGCTGAAAAAAAAAAAAAAAAAAAATCAAGAACTCAACCTGGAATCCTGAAATATATTCACATAGATCATCTATTCCTGTGTAAACGAGGTGCTGCATGTGCTGAAATACAGCCGCTGACCTAAAAAACAGAAGCCCAGAGTTTAGCACCTAAATAGAATGATGGATTTTAGATGTAGTTTGGTCTCTGTGTTGGTGGGTTTTAAAACAATATGTAGAATGACTCGTATTATTCCCACATAAGGCCATGGTGACATGGTTGTTGTCTGTGCTGTATGCAAACTCCAACCACCCAATATCATGCAAACTCACAACAGGAAATGAAATAAGTTTTTTTTTGACGCATTTATGATCTCAACATTGAAAGTTGTCTGTGCCACGCCATTTGTTCTTCCAGGTGCTAATCTGGTTTTGTCAGTGTTTTCATGTCAAAAGCCTAAGAACTGTAAAAAAGAAAAAAGAAAAAGAAATACACCCTCTGTTGTCATAAAACTACATTATAGGTTTTATTTTAAAACACGCTAACAGTTCAGATGGTAATATTTAGACTCTTTTTGTTAGATAAGTTAGGCAGCTGAGTCACTGATCCTAAGAACTCGTCACGTTTCCTGAAGGTTACATTCTGAGAAGGTTCAGACGGGAAAAAACCCCACCAAAAATATTATTCTAGAAAGATAACAGAACTGGTCATTCAGAAAATATCCTGTTCCACCCTAAAGTTTGCAACAGAAATGTCTTTCTGTTCAGAGTCAGCTGGTTTGGTTTCTTTCCAATCCATTCAGGTTTGTCTAGATTTGAAGAAAATGTTTCTTATGACAGTTTTTATTTTGAGTTTAAATGACAAAAATCCATCTGGATGAAAACCTTTTTTTTTTTTTTTTAGCTCAGTCAGACCTGCAGAGTGGATAAAACCTGAGCGAGGACTCACCACCAGGGGCCTCTAAAACAAGGTGAGAGAAAGTGCTGAATCTCTTTGGGTTCAAAAGATTTTCCATATTTTAAAGTGTGTAAATACACACTCCCTGATGGATTTAAAGCTAATTTGTAAGCTTCCATTATTTTGGGGGTGTAAACAATAAAAAAATATATCTTTAGCAGGAAATATATATATATATATATATAATTTTTTTTTTTTTTGCACTCCATATATTTCTTCATGCCATAAACATTGAATCTGGTTGAGGACTTCAGAAACAGCTTGGTTCAGGTATAAAGAGGAGAAAGTTTGACTCAGAGAAGGCAGAGCTTATTCATGTACACAGTCTTCAGGGCAAAATATATACATAAAACAGGTGCAGTATGAAAGCACATCTGCAGGGGACGGAGTTTGTAGGAGAGACCCAATGTTCTGAAAGTGCTGGGCTGGAGGGTGGTGATGAAGAGGAGCGAAAGCATTGAGGATCAGATCCGTGGTTCAGAAGTCCATGGGAGGAGTCTTTATGGACAACAAAGAGTCCAAACAAATATATATTTTTATATGTAAATGTGTGTGTGTGTGTGTGTGTGTGTGTGTGTGCGTGCGTGCTTGCGTGTGTGTTTTACTTGACTCAGAGCAGGTAAAAGTCAGAGCTCGTGTAAATCTGATACTTAAAGCCAACAAAGGATGTGCTGCTGGAACAAACAACCCTGTTGGAAAAAACTTCTGCCCAGAGGTTAACTTAACATCGAGTCGAGTCGGTTGGGATAAGAACTGCATGCAGTGAGGTGAGGATCGCTGGTGTGTGTGTGTGTGTGTGCGCGTGTGTGTGTGTGTGTGTGTGTGTGTGTGTGAAGCCTCTGTGAATGTCCTCATCACAGCGGACCGTGCTGGCCCTCATACTTGGCCAGGATGTTCTTGGCCCGTCCGAGCTCTTTCCTCAAGTCGGCCACCTCCTGTCTCAGGGCGGAGTTCTCCTTCTCCAAGAAGGCCGCCCGGATAGCAATCTGGTTCTCCTTGAGTCGCCGGGCGTCGCGTGAACGCTTTGCTGCCATGTTGTTCTTCCTGCGCCGAGCCCAGTATTTGTCATCCTGCTCAAAAAGAAAGAGACAAAGCAAAAAAAGAAAAACCAAAGGTAAAAATGTGGATATCTGGTGCTCCTTATTAAGCCCACTTATATCTCATTTATAGTAAAATACAGTTAGAGCTAATATTCAATTTTGTTTATTGGTCAGGATTTGATTTTGAGTTACTTTGCCAACCTTTTAGGCTACCGTGGTTTCAGACAGGAAGTGATTTTCGTGTGGACGGGGAATTTAAAAAACAGAGAGCAAACAATTAAAAAGCTGATCTAAGAGCGAGGCAGGCAGTGGGATCACAGCGTCACGGCTGCCTTCTTCACTCTTTTTTAAGCCGCTTAACCTGGAGGACCCGCCTCCCTCAGGGTAGGCTGGCCAATAGGAGGGCTAAATCTAATGATGGACAGACCAAGGACTCTGTGTGTCCCAACATGCCATGCTCCTGTGAGGCTATAATCAGGTCTGATGGATGAGTGAGATCTGTTTAAATCACATACTGTGATAAAACATCTGGATAAAAAAGGAGGGAACAGCAGTCTGCCCTGCACCTTACTGCAGGAAAGTAAAGAAAACAAACAGGAAGTGAAGCTTTGGGTGGATTAAAAAAAAAATCTCTTTTAGTTTGTTGGTTGTGACAAAGAATCTGAATCAAATATAATCAAACATGGACTCCTGGTTCTTACATTTCTGATATGACTCACTGATTTTCAAACTCTATTTTTGATCACCCAACCAGAATCTCTGAACTGTGAGTAGCAGAAATTGACAAAGAATAAATCAAAGTTTGCTCAACTTTTGCAGCAAATTTTTGCGCTCTAATTTGGTACTTTGTGTATTGAAAAGGAAAAAAAACAAGCAGAAACAAACCCTAACAGAGGACATAAAGTGGGCTGAGCGGACCAGTACCGCCCTCAGGACTGGCTCCAACTTACCTTCAGGTCATCAGGAATGAAAACCTTCCTGGCCTTCTTGATCATCGGCTGAGGCTTCAGCTCCTCGGCAGAGAATTTGCGCTTGCGCGGATCGAAGATCTCCTGACCCGGAACGCTGGACAGAGCCAAGTCCGCCGGGTCAGGTTTGTAGCTGACCGGAACCTGGATGGACTCTGGATCGATGGGGCTGGGGGTGTTTCTGGAGTTTGGGAGGCCTGACGAAGAAGAGAGAGGAAGGCTAAGAAATCATCTCAGTTGTAGCCTTTTTTCCACGTTTTACTTTATTCTCCTGTGTTTTACTTTCCCTATTTCTTTACACTGATTCTTTTTTTTAAAGACTATTGGCTTTTTAGATCCCTTTACCATTCAGTTTTCAGTACACTTTTTGCTTAGCTCATCATTATGTACAGATGTAATTTTTTTCATTCCTATTTTGATTTTTTTCCAGTCTGGTTTCTTTCCCATTGTGAGTTCTACTGATTTTGCTTAGTTTCATTTAAGTCTTTATTTGTGACCTTCAGCTCATTGAGATGTTCTTTCTTTTGCCATACAATCATTCTGAGGGAGTAACAGTTTTATGTAATAATCATTTCCAAGTTAAAATTTCAGCTCTGCAAGAATTTCTCTAGTGTTTGGTTTCAACCACTAGGTGGCGACAACGTGCTGTTTGTGTCAATCTTGAGCTCTGAGAACCTCAAAATGCTTTTTCCCCCCTATTAAAAGTAAAACAGAATATTTAATAGTTTTTCATTCTTACTTTGTTATATTATTAAAGACACCTGTTGTAGTAGATTAACCTAAACATGATAGAAAGTGTAAACAAAACTATAAAGACAAGCAAATGATCTGAAGATCAGTGCAAAGCCGTGGTTACTTTATCTCATGTTTAAAACAAGCTCCTATGTCTTACTTAAAATCTACTTCTAAATTACTTTTGTCTTATTTCAAGTATACAAAGATATTTGCACTAGAAACTATACAAAAAGATACTGTTTGATGTTGTGTTTTTGTGGTGTAAAATGTACTCAGTATTTATTATTTTCTCTAATGTACTGGGTACTTCATAATATTTTGCTATGTCGGTTTATGGTGCTTACATGTTACTCTGTGTAACACAGAAATTAAAACGTTAGTTATCATACGTTAGAGGTTACTTTAACAAGTTGTTTTCTGAAACCTAAAGGTTACTAGATCTTAAAGGTTACAGTATTTCCTGCATTATAGACGCTATTTTACCAGACTTACATCTTATTTTCTGGAGTTTACAACTTACAGGCTACTTTCTGTTTGCGTCTCCAGCTTATCACAGTGTGTCTGCGCCCAATGGAAGTTGTGCGCTCTGTATATATCCGTCATCGTTTTAAAAAGTTGACATTCTGGGAAGACACTCTGCTGTGTCTGCTCCGCTCCGTGCCCACATTGTTCGATCTGCTGTTTTTTGTGTCTGCAGGATGCCCAGGTCTTATCAAGATAAGTGAGTTATAAGCAGCTGGCAGCGCGGCGAGGCCCCGCTGAATCAGTCAGGTGTGAGTGTGTGATGGGGAGCCGGAGGCTTGAGGTTACATGCGGAGAAGCAGGTGGATGCATGACAGTCGCTGCCGTTGAAACGTGATGCAGACAGACGGTCCCCCCGACACATGTGAGTTTTAGTGCAAAACGTGAGTCGCGTGGTGGCCACTTCCTTATTTTTCCCCAAAGTGAGTCGAGAGCGAGGCTGCGCCCTTCTCAGAGGTAAAAACGTGTCCACAGGCTCAAATAAATGTGTTCAAAAACGTTGATCAAAATCCTGTCAGGTTTATGTGACTCTGTTCCTTAAATTTACTTTACACAGCATATTACTTATCTAGTTACTGATATTTCTGATTCTGTATTTCTTAAGTGTTTTTATCCATCCTTCCATTCAGCTGTCTTTATTCTAGGTCAGGTCACGAGGATGACATGAGGAGAAAACCACATGCTTTTCTTGAATTAAAAAAACAAAACAAAAAACGAATAACCAACAAATCTTAAAAAAAAAGAAAAGAAAATCTATTTATCCAGCTATCAGCATTCAAGATGTAATCTCTGCCCATTTGGTCTTGGAAAACTTCTCCATGTCTCTGATTGTGTGAGTCTTTGTCTACAGCCCATTTTCAGCAACTCCACTGACATTCTGTCAGACTGCTGTAAGTTTTGGTTTCATTTCCCCTTCATAGCCTCATTTGGTTACCAATCCTACTTCATCTTCAATTTTCCAACAGACACTTAAGGTTGTGGGTTGAACCCACTGGTGTTTGAAATTGCTCAAAAATGTATCTAACTCAACCTCACATTTTGGAGAAAAATAACCCAAGAGCATGATGCTGCCACCACCGTGTGTCAATGAACATGTATATATGGTGTGTTCCTTTTGCTGTTGGTTTTTTGTGCCAAGTTACCTTTTTGGTATTGTGACCCTAAAACTTCAAGCTTGGTTCCCTCACACCTTTGCACATTTTTTCCCAAAAGGCTTTGGGATCTTTTTTTTTTTTTTTAACCAAGTCTGGATGTTTTCAACCCCAATCTGTAGTCCACACACATAGAAAAAAACAGCACAACACAAGCGAAATTCCTGCAGCTCGTTCAGTACTGCCGTAAATCTCTTTCAAATTACATCTAGTTCTTTCAATTAAGTTGGAAAAAAGTCCAGATTTCATAAGGTCACTTGTCCCGTATTTTCTAATTATTGATGGCCATCCGTACTTTGCCATGGTATTATAAATAACGTTCTGGAACTGCTTGTTCCCTTCTTCTGACTTTGTACACTGAGATCCCTCTGACCCTTTGTAACCACTCTGTAAATTTTGGCTCTACACAAATTATGTAAATGTCAAGAAAATGCAGCTGAGGCAGTCAATCTTAAGGTTCACTATAGTTGGTGGCTATGGTAAAAAAACCCAAAAAAACTCAAGAAGTCTACGCCAAAAGGTGCTTCAATAGGAGTATAAGTTTATTTGTGTATTAATTCCTCCAGCTTTTTACTTTTTACTCTAATAAATGTGTTTGATGTTTAGTGAAATTGTGCAGAATGCTTTGTTGTCCCAAAAAAAAGTGATAAATTGCTTTGCAGGTGTAGATTTAGTCATAATTTCTCTGTGTGTTGCTTTTGTATCCACAATAAAAACATGGGAAAAGTGATTTTGCACCTCAATCTGAAAGGAACAAATGTTATAATCAGTGACAATTAATTCGGTTTGAGCTGCTGGAACCGAAGCTGTCTCCTCACGCCACCCTGTCTGCTCTCGTCTCTGATCCCCACCTGCCTCTCCTCTGCTGTTGTTTTTGGGATTTAATCTGAAACCTGAGGCCAGAACCTGCGAGGGGAGCAGAAACCATTTAGGAAGGAGCTAAAACACGAGACGGCCGTAAAGGAGGAGGAGGAAACCTTCTCCGGCTCTCCACCTCTCCTGCAGGATGTTTGTGGATCTGACCTGTTCCTGCTTCCTTATCGCTTGTGCCATCCTGTGGCCATATGGGAATACAAATATGCCAGATTATTCAGTAGATTACGCTGCTATATTTGGCCGACGGAGCAGCACATTATATGTGGCCTGAGCTTGACACAAACACAGGTTGGATCTGCCGTGCTCAGGCTCGTGACGGAAAAATGATTGGAGCCGGTCAGTGGAAAAACACTGGCAGCACCCACTGGATCGGACCTTGATAAATGCCGTAGTCAACTTTAGTTTAATAAGCTAGTTTTAGTTCTTGTAGGATAGTCCATTATTGTCCACCAATTGCAAAATAAAAAAAAAATATATATATATATAATTATTCTCAATAATAAAGATGTTTCTATCACAAACCTCAATAAATGTCTTGCTTAATATGTTTTATTTGGTTTCATAGTTATTTCATCTCAATGTGGAACAAAAAATAAGGAAAACTAACCAATCAGATACAGAATTATTTGATTTTTTTTATTCTGATAATTGCATAAAAGTTAGTGATTTAATTTTTTGACAAATTATGTAGCCATAAATTTATTTTTTATTCATTATTTGATTAGTATAATGTGCAAATATTTTATTATTTATTCATGTTTTTATAGCAGTTTTTTTTTATATGTAATTTACCAAACAGCGTCACATGTGAGAGTTCTTTCTTTTTGGCTTGTTTGTAATTATTGCTTAAACAGACAGCTCTGTATCATTTGCGACATTGTTTTTGTGCATTCATTTATCATTTATTTTATAACAAGCCTAAAGTTGAAGAAAGGCTGAACAAAATTCACTGGTGTCATGAAGTGTCACCAGTAAACAAACTCACCAAGACAAAAAAAACAAACCAAAACTAACTCAAATTATTTACTTATTTGATATATAGGGAGAGTTCTAAAAATTAAGCTAGTGAAAATATAATCTTCAAGTACCCTCAGAGGTCTAAGTTGTTTACTTCTGAAATCACTCTCTTCTTAGTTTGAAAAGTTTCTTTGTTAGAGCCACTGGAAGTTTCTTTCTTCTTATAAAAAAAGAGAGAGAGAGGAAAAGGAACTTTTCCAAATATTTGTCCAGGAGCCCTTTAACAAATCAGATCCAGGATCAGAGGAAAAACTATGCCGAGATGTGTATCCTCCACCCGGTTGCAGCATGCGTGTGCATGTGTGCGCATGTGACTTATTAGTGGATGGGAATGTAAACATTCAGTGGGAAACGTGTGGATGTGAGAGCTGCCGCCCCCTGGCCTACTTCTGCAGAGAACACTATGTTCTTAAAACACTGATCTCATGCAGGGAGGGCGGTCATACACACACACACACCACCTCACGCACACACTCACACACACGTTCAGCAGGTCACATGTCTCTTCATGCTGTTAGGATGGTTTGTTTTCTGAGGATCACTCAGAGCAGAATGGCTCTGGAAAGAGGATGTTCCCTTTAAGAAAAGGAACGCCGGACAGCAAGTGAGCATGAGCGTGCACAAACAGCCGAGGCACATGAGCGTGCACGCATGCAATTGCAGCAGGTTAAGAAAAAAAATAAAAATAAAATATATATATATAGAGAGAGAGAGACATGTGTTGTGTGCATGCGCCTTCTTGCCAGTGGGGGTGCTCTCGAGTCGCTGTGGATCTAACAGGGAGAACGACTTTTCTGCCTCTGGGCATGCGCAGCTCAGAATAAACAAACTTGCCAGAGTAACATCGTAGCAATTTGTTTCCTCTGTGATCCACAGGTAGGATAAAAGGCAACTTTTATAAACTCATAGAGACAGCGTTTTTCAAATGTTTGGTAAATATGTAAAGATTAGTTTTGTGGTGATTCGTGTAACTTGTGTGTGTAATTTGGGTAGTTTTGTACTGAGCTTTGGTCTGTGTCAGTAGATGGCTTGCTTTTTGTTGTTGAAGCCTTTGGGATTGATTTAAATTGAATAATAAGTCAATGTTGTATTTGTATTTGGGCAGTGTTGCCATATTAGTATTTGTAATATTTTTATTTCTCATACTGCCAAACGTCGGTGTTTACTGTGTGTTGTAGATGAAATTTTTTGTCCAGTTTGGTTATGTTAATTTAGAATGAGATTTTTTTTTTCATTTTTTGCTATTACGTTATTTTATTTGCGCATTTTGTTTTCTTTTGTTTCTTTGCGTAAATTCCGGATGTTGTTGATTGAATTTGAATTGTATTGTAATTGTATTTTACTCATTTATTTGTTTTTCTTAAATTGAAAATGTGTGTCAGAATAAACAAGCTCTTGCCAGAGTAACAATGTAGCAATTTGTTTCCTTTGTGATCCACAGATTTTGGTTGCACAGGATTCCTCTGCCTGTGCGCCGCTTGATACTGACTCAGATTTTACCGAGATCTGGTGCCGGTAACACAATCTATGCATCTACATCTGCTCAGCTTCTGCTTCTAATAACAACAAGCTCTTATCTGTGAGATCTGATCTTTAAGGAACCCACCTAAGCTCATGTCACGCTACCTCGTCCCCATCACATGACCCCAGCAATGCAGCAGGTGGCCTCTTTCATGAGGATGATCTGAACTGTGTGCTCCAGGTTGATCAGAGCAGACAGTGTTTTCTCGGTCTGATTAACATACAGATGATACGCTTGATGGAGACATGTGCCAACAGTAGCACAAAAACTGTTAAAAGATGATGGGAAGTTAGGTTTATGAGTGCTACAAATCACCCTGAGTCGGTCGTAACAAATTGGGGGCTCGTCCGGGCTCATAAACAAAACCTCAGTAAACAAATACTGCAGGTGAAAGTTTGTGTTTAATAATAAAAATGTTCTTAATATTTAAATTGTTCACATAATTAAACAGCTAAATGTGGTCTAGTAGGGGTGAGCAATTATCATATTATCATTTATTATGATGAAAATTTTTATTTATTCTTGTCACGATAAATTCCAGTAAAAACGGCCCATTTTGTCAGGATTGTTAGTTTCAGTATTTCCTTCACTGTTTATTTAACGAGATTATCGCTACATATAAATACATTTGAAAAGTACGATTAAAAGTGGTTATTGTGTACAGTTTATTGATGCAAATCACACTTCTTTATGTGACTGGTGTCCTAGAGAAGTGTATTACAAATTGCTGTGTTTCTCAAGAGCAGTATTTGCATTTGAGGAGCTGGAATTGGTATGTAATCAAAGATAAAAATCAAGTTTTGAGTGTATAACTATGAATAGATCTAAAGGTAAATAATTCTCATTTTGTAGCTAATTAATGTCATAAAGTTTTTCATCTTAAAAGTTTTAATTTGCATAACACTTTAATTATCAAATGCTGAAGTGATAGAAAGTACCTCACAGCAGCATATAAGATATTTAGAAATGGTGAGTTATTTTATACCAAAAATCCTGAATTACTTCTTTGCTGATGGGACTGTTCTTGCACCCAAATCTAAGCTCTTTGCTTGGATTCTTGGATTCTGATGGAGTGTCTTGAATGGTTGAAGCTTGAAACAAGGTTTTGCTTGGCAAAACACAATCAGAGAAAACCTCAAAAACAATATAAGCTACGAAATTAGCCAAACTACTGCGAATATTTAAAATCGCCACACAGACAAGACCAAAAGCCAGAGTGACATACCTGCTCTTGCTGGGCTGCTGTGCAGGCAGTTAGGGGAGACGATAGAGGTGGAGGCGTGGCTGCTGAGGTCCATCACAGAGCGCGCCGGAGCAGACAGCACCGGGGTCATGATGGGCGGTTGACGAGGTGGGATGTGGTGGGCCTGGTGCTGCTCCCGGTGATGGTGAGAGGGACTGGACGGGATGCCATTCTCTGACAAAAACTCTTCCAGATCCATGTACTCCAGCTGGAAGGTGTCTCCATCATAGGAGAGGGTTTTGTCCCACAGAGTTGGTCCAAGGAAAGCTGACTGGGGGGCACTGCGTTCCTCCTCCAGGTTCTTCTCCTTCTCCTGGTCTTTACTAAAAGCTGCAGGACAGGATAAGAGAATATTTGTCATTCCAGCCTTAGGGAAACGGGTTCTGTTGGTACCATAAATTCTTCCAGTTGAATATTTAGGGTGTTGGATCAGTCCCGTCGTTTCTATTCTATTTAGGATTTTCAGACTCGAGTCATGGCCACAAAAGGAAAGGAACTTCTTTATGCTCATCCACCAGAATGAGCATCCACCAGAACCTCAATGTTTCCCTTCAATTTTTAAACCAGGATTCTGTACCTCACTACCAGGTCCATTCAGGTGACTCTGAAAATGTAATTAATTACACATTAGATAGCGACTTTGTAAGACTACAAACAAAATGTATGACTTCAATCAGTTTAATTCCAAAGCTTGTTAGTGTGTTTCTACGTTTACCACAACAATGTTCAAGTTAAACTCAAGTTTGTTTCTACCTTTACTTCATGGCGATATCATTGAGTCACAAAATTCCATACAAGGTCAAACATGGACATAGTGCAGCTCACGCGCAATACGTCATCAAGTGAGTCAAGCGATGCACCTGGTAGGAGAGGTTTGCACTCCATTTGAATTATCATCTGCAGCCCAATTTGGGCCCAATGAGAAGAGCGATGGGGGCTCATCATTGTGGAGCTGATGTTAAAATAACAGGGTTTGCTTTACTGCTAATATGAAATGTGATCTGATTCGTTTTCATGTTTTTATTTTGCACATTTACAATCATAAAAGCTGTCCATGGTTTAAGGTAGGAGTCTTCAACTTTGCTCCTGAAGAGCCACTGTCAGGCACCTTTTAAAGACCCCTAAATTATTTCTGAAAATATCATTCGGTCATTGGATTCATGCTGGATTAGAGATGTAATTAAAGACAATAGCTCCTCTAACACAGGACTGCAGGTAAAGACCCCTGGTTTAAGGTTAACCCCTACTCCCACCAGAAAAAAAGAGAACTCCCCCTTCACTGATCATCATCACTTCATTTCAGCAGCCCACTCAGTGCTGCCCCCGTCAGGCTTCTGGTAGACGGCGGAAATTTTGGAAGAGGACAGGAGCTATATCTGATTTTTATATCGAAATTCCAAACACTTCCTCACTCAGATTTTCTCTGAGTGTTTTTACTATCCATTTTAAAAATGGGTGGTTGTATAAATCCAGATATGCACTATGAATGAGAATGGATGGATGAAACAGTGAATAAGGTCTGGAAAACACAAATTTTTCCATTTGCTGAGAGAGTTTATGGCTCCTTTCAGAGGCCACCCAAGATAAATAAAGACAGCTCTGGACTGTGACTCTGTAAAAGTTGATCTGCTGAGTCAGAAAAAAAAAAAAAACACAGACAGCAATTGATGAAGACAAAATGTCCTTTTGAGCAAACTGTGTGCTAACTTTTAATCAGTAAACTGCAGGGTCAATCCAATAAACTCTGTTACTACAAACCCATGTACTTATCCATTGATAACAACTTTATGTCACATTTTATTCAGATGGTTTAAAATAAATGTTGAGAATTTGCAGAACAAATAAAATAACTAAAATAAACAGATGTTACATGTTTAAACAGGAATGACAATAAAAGTAATTTCCACTCAGAAAAATAAAAATATCTTTCTTTGGGCATTTTAATGACTTAGCAGATCATCTATTATCAATGACTGATAAATGAAAAGTACTTTTATCAGGTGATTTTCAAAAACATTTTTTCCAAAGTAATTTGCACCTTCACTATTGAAAGATTGTTCCTGACCCGCTAGCTGCTGACAGACGCGGTAAATGTCTGATTTTTCTTTATATTTGTTTTTAATCATTCTTAGGAACTGTTTCTGTCTCTGCTCATATCTGCAGGAACTAAACTGTGCACAGACTGCTCATTAATGCTCTCTGGATGAAAACTTTGTGCGCTTGACGCACAACTGCGCCGCTCTGCAGGAGAAGCGCGCCTCAGAAAGTTCAGGAACAAAAAGATTTACAGTAAACAAAGGCACGCTTTGCATTCCTCTGAGTCTGGAAGATTATCAGAAAGAAGCAGGAAGGCGAGAGTGTCGGGAGAAATGAGGAGTTTCCTCCAGCTTCACCTTCATGATGCAGCGGTAGCTTCATCGGGTTCTCCAGCAGCGACTTAAGAACTCCGTGCGGGTTCGGCGGCAGAAAAGCGGGATTCAACGGGAGAGCGTGTCGGGACATCTTCTCCATCACGCCTCCGTGCGTCGGACCAACCGGATAAACAACGTCCGGGAAGAGGAGAGGCGGCAGCGGGCAGCGGAGAGCAGAGAGTGTCGGTGTTTCGACAGGCAGACTGGCGCTCTGCGGATTTACATGAAGAACGGCCGGAGGAGAGCAGGAATCATGAAAGCTCCTCGGAGTAAAAGTTAGTATTAACGACACGCTCGAGCTGAGGAGCGCGCGCGGCTGATGCGGGGAGAAGCGCACTGAGCTAGTCCCGACCGCGTGCGTGACAACTGAGCGCTGACGTCAAACCGAGAGCCAGGCACCCGCCTCTCTTCTCCTCTCCTCTCCACTCCCCCTGCTCACGCACACACACACACACACGCACGCACGCATGCATGCACGCGCACGAACACATACTTCCAGTTCAGCAAGCAGAGGCATTAACTCTTAACCGGAAAAATCACCGCATATTAGCAATAAACCAAAATATAACAAAGTTAGCGCCGTCCAACCAGAGTTTATTGTGAAGGTCTGATAGAGTCCTTGGCTCCAGGCTGTTTGCAGTATCTCCTAATAATACTGACGTTTTAAGTTGGGACCTTTATGCTTCGTACAAATCAAATAAGCACCCAACTGGACTGAAATCTGGAGGCCAACACCTCAAATTGGTTGTTGTCTTCCATGAGAGAGCTCTTTTTCTTTCTGCTAGGAAAATCAGAGCAGCCATTTTCCATATATGACACTTCTGCGTTCTTAGTAGAACCTGATCATGCCACCATCCATCATCCTCCATCTCAGGTTCTCTTGATTTTATTTCTTGGACCGGTATCAGACCTTCCGAATCAATATCAATCGACTGTCACAGTTTGGTTCTGGCTAAACCACAAGTTGACCTTTTTTTTTTTTATGTTTTTCCTTCCACTTTCATCACAGGAAGTCCAACTGAAATCCCTCTGCAGTGAAAGGTGAGGTGGATGTTTGGCATCGTTACAGGATGTTCTATCTGTTGGTGAATACAGTAAGGTGACTTTTTATTCAGTGAGAACTTCTTTTCCCCGCAGCTTCATTCAGGATGTCCAACAGTTTTCTTTCTTTCTGCTCGTTCCTCCTCACGCACTCTAGGCCTGCTCAGTGGAATGCTGGGTCATACGAGTGGTCCGGACTGACCTACTTTCATCCAATCAGAGGCCGCCGTCTCCTGTTCTCCTCCCCGTCTCCTCCATGCAGCCCAGTCACATTGAATCTCATGTGCTCTGGAGCAGGAACAAAACAAATCCACCAGCAGGGAGGAGGAGGAGAGAGGAGACGAGCAAGCAACAGTGTGTGGGGTGGGGAGGGGGTAAGAGAAGGAAGGGTAAGCAAAAATGAATAGAAAGATAAAAATATAGAAAAAGGAAAATAAAAAAATAAAAGAAAAAAAATCAAAAGGACTTGATAGAGGATGATAATTTGAAAAAGCGAATGCAAAGAAGATGGGGAAATGATGGGGAAGGAAGGGAAGGAAAACGAATGAAGGGTTGGTGAAAAATACAAATGAAAGGAAACTGTGAGATGTAATGAGAAAGGAAAAAGTAAAAAAAAAAAAAAAAGTGAAAATGTACAAGAATAAAGATGAGGAGAGCACATCAGAGATTTGCCCATCACAATGCTGGAGCTCTTTCATTTATGTGATAAATTTCTAACTTCTGTTACCTCCAGTTGTGAGAAAGAAAAAAAAAACATCTTTCATATTCGATGCCAGATCAAACACTTTCTGGTGTTTCTCTGTTTATCAGACTTCAGCCCATTTAAACGACTCTTTGTCACACTCCGAGAAGTTGGATCGACTAAACAAAAAGTCAGGTTGTAAAAACCAGGAGTGGTGATCCAGCATTTTCATTGCCTTTTTGTGCTACTTGCTTTTCTAGTTTCATTGGGCATTGCACCCATCTTGTGACTCTCTTCTTAATTGCTGTTATCATAGACGGGAGAGTCATTGTACAACAATAACATTTAATCCTTTTTTTCTTTTTTTATCTCTGGGTTCCAGTCAAAACTATTTTTTGTGGTACTTATAAGAGCCAAAAGTGTTGGGGTGTTTTTTATTATTATTATTTTTTATTTTTTTTAAACTCTGTAAATCATGTTGCTTCTGCGTGAACCCGATCCGGCAGACGAAGAGGAGCCCTGAAACATAAAACACCCTAAACGGCGCGTGTGGTTCTGCGTGTGGCGACGAGTCCGACAAAGCCGTCATTAAACACTCCTTAGCAACAGCGGCAACCGAGGGCCTGCAGTGTTGTGACGACCTTTCTGTCGAGAGGAAAGTAGGGCAGCGGCGACCGGGCCTGTTGCAGCTCTGACTCATTCCTTTAACGCGCTCACTGCCACCTGAAGAGACTTTTCAGTCACTGCACAGAAACCTTTCCAGCATGCTAAAGCAGCTCGTGTTTCCCGTCAGTTCATCCAGACGGATGGAGTTTCAGTAAAAGTAGTTAAAATGTGCTGCTTGACAAAAGGCCTCTGCATGAAGAAAGGTGACAACTGAGTTTGCTGCAGAAAAGATTTTATTTAAAAACGGGAAATAATGTGTACACGTACGCCTTTCTCTCCCTTTCCTTCCAGCTGTTATAATGATTGCAAATTACAGTAATCGTGTGACTTTTATTGGACATAATAGATAACAGAATCAAATTACTCCCTGGGCAAAGTAATGGGACTTATTTTGTATTGAAATGAATCACAGATTGGTTGACCATGAAACAGATAGAGAAAACAGAAGCTAAACACATTTTTAACATCTTATTAAGTCTTCTTTAGAAACAACTGGAAAACTCTACTGTTTTCTATACTTTTTTCCTCAAGCGAAGTCACTTTAATCTGTACAGATTTGCTCCACGTTCTGCCATCTTTGCATCATGTAAAGATGTTGGTTAAAGTCCTAAGATTTTTCTGATCGATTGTCGTTGCATCATCGTTTAATAATATTACTCAAGTCTGGCTTTCCAGCAGCTCCCATTAACAGAGGAGTGCCTCAGGGCGGTGTGCACAGACCACTGCTCTTTGCACATTTACACAATCCCACTTGATCCTTTATGAACAATGGTACACCAGTGAACCTGAAATCCTGGCTGCGGCTCCACAGTCGCTTCTCTTGTTCCCCTTCATGTTGAAATAATTACTACCTATTGTTTGAGTTTTGAATGGAATCTGTGAGTAAATCTCGCCTCATCGCAGAGACATCTCCGGACCCGGCCCACAAGTGTTTTGATTCGCCCTCTTTCTGAACTACCGTCGCGGTCAGCTCTACCGACGCAAACGCTTGGGCGTGCACCCAAAACTCACCAAGCTCTAACCATTCCCTTCTGTTCTCCGTGTTTACATCTACAATGTTCAACCCTTGAATGCATCTTAAAATAGTAGTTATTCACAGAGGCATTCAGTACAAATGAGTGTTTCTTCCCCTACTCCCGTCACTGACCCATTTAGCGTTTTCGTTGTTTTATATGCCATCATTCTGTATTTTGTGATACCCCTGGAGAGGCTCTACAAAAATGTTTGCCGCTTATAGTTTCCAACGGCGTCATGCCTTTTTATTTGTCCAATATCTCTGTTTTTTTTTTTTTGTTTTGTTTTTTCCACTGCCTTCCATCTTTGTTTCTGTTTGCTTCCGTAGAAACGGGGTACTGGTGAAGTTTGTCTCAGCTGGTGAGTGAGATAGATGTACAACCTGAAATATTCTAAAAGATTATAATGTTCATAATTTATCCAGTTTCTTTAGGAGGAAAATTTTCAAAATGGAAAAAGAAAAGGGGGCATTTCTTGATTCCTAGTGATGTGAGTTTGAAGTGAATTTCTAGCTAAAGAGCTCAGTTACACGGTTTTATGGGTCAGTGTCATTTAGACATAATGACAAACAACATAATCACGTAATCGTCGTATGTTTTACCACAAAACAGTCGAAGTACCGAGTTGCGCAACCAAGGTTGGCCTAAATAAGCCCAGTCAGAGCGCGTGGACCTTGCGTTGCCTCTTAATACTCTGACTTATTCTTAAATCTGGGCTGTAATCAGACCTGTTTGCATAAAAAGGATGTGAACTTTCTCCCCGTATCCATCGGGCCAGTTATGGATCATTTTGCGTGGGTCCTTTTAATCCAAGCTGCTCATGGAGTCGATGACCCTCAGCTACTCCAAATGGAATCGAGGAAAAGAGGCTTTGAATGTTGTGTAACCTCACGGCGAAGTTGGTTTTGGAAACTGTTTACACACTGCTAAAAAAAAAAAAAAAAAAAAAGCAGTAGCGGACGTGTGCGTGTTCACAGATATCAAGCATAGGTCTCTCTACACAAAAATCATAGTTTACTATGAAGGAGTAGATAAAGAAGTCAAGGTTATGACAATTTGTTTTGAAGTCAGTTTAATAAAAAATAAAGTAAAATATTGATCCCGATAAGAAATTAAGTCTTTTTAATTAATTCAAGATTCTTCAAAGAGTTACAGTGGATGGTGACGGCTGTGGGGTTTAAGGATGTCCTGTAGCGGTCTGTGTTAAGGCCAGTTCGAAGAAGCCTCTGACTGAAGACGCTTTTTCTATAACAGTCTCATGAAGAGGATGCTCAGGGTTGCCCATCATTTCCAGGATTTTGCACCAACATCTAATCCACAAAACTGAATACGCTCAAAATAAAGATTTCATTCAATCACGAATTCATCGAAACACTTTCGCTTCCGCTCATCTCCCGTCTTCCTCAACTGTATCTTAAAATAAGGAAGGAGTCCACTGAGGGCTGTGTGTGTGTGTATGTGTGTGTGTGTGTGTGTGTGTGTGTGTGTGTTTTTTCTGTTATCTGCGCCTCTGAAAGCGTCACATATTTATAGCCACACTTGTGAACACGAAGGAAAATCAATATTTGGAGCCGCTGGCAGGAAGACTATTGGCTCAGCTCCACCTCCAGCCCACACACACACACAATATATACACACACATAATAAATACAGCCGTACACATCACACACACCGATGCTCTCGCACAGAAACAAATACGACCTCTTCGCCCAAAGCTAAACGCCAAAATAATCGGATTATGTGACATTTATTTTGTTGCTTCCAGATATGATGTCAGCAACACAATGGAAACATCCTTTTTTTTTTTATTGATCCATCTTCATGACATAATACTTGCCGTAGTTTCATTATAACCACAGAGCCTTCCAGTCCCACTGCTGAATAGAAGGATCACAGAATCCTGACAGGGTTCCATTATCGCTTTCTATAAAGCTTCACAAGATTTCTAAAGCAAAGCGGGGTGTTGGTTTCAGGTTTTTACAAAATGTTACCTATCAAGAAGGCGCTGCAGTAGCAAAGCAGGGAAACAGTGGTGCTTTTTGTTTTTTAACACAGGGATTAATTAGAGACGTACAAACCTGCCTGGGAAACACTTAATTGGAGAGAGAATTAAACGATTTGCACAACTGTTTGAAACATAATCAGTGGAAATCATTCAATTTGAATGACAGGGACACTGGTAGTGTTACCGTCTAACATACTGAAAGGACTTTAGATTAAATTTGAAAAGGCTTTTTCAAAAGGATTTTGAGACTCCAAAACGTAGTTAGCAAGCAAAAAACACAAAAACATGTAGATGATGCTGCCTTGCTGATTAAAGACTTTCTTGTGTGCTGGATTATATATCAAATGCACAGGTTATCTTTTTAACCTGTACTATACCTTCTAAATATACTTTTTTATTTATTTAACCAGCAATTTGTAACTTAAAAAATTAGCATTTTGAAACGTTAATTCAAATAATACGACTTTTCCCATTTCATCAGCAAACTTCAGACTCCACTGGGGCCCTGAAGCACTATTCAGAAACAGGAATGCAGGGGCTTCCAGAACAGCTTTCCTCTGCTGGGAGTAAAAACTACAAGTTCTTAAAGATAAAAAAGAGAGACAGAGAGGAGTGGGAGCTGAAGCCTTCTGAAGAGCAGCCAACAAATGTCAACTAAAATCAAGAGTAGAGGGGAGAAAGAAAGCTAAAAGCAGCACAGATGAAATCCTTCCTTAAAAAATACTTTTTTTTTTTCTTCCCCCCACTTTGGCAGTAATTACCTGAAGATTCCTTGGAATAAAAGCGAAGCTCAAACTCACCCATGTCCTCAACAAAAAACAGTTTGCCTGAGCGTGGAAACGTGAAAAAGTCTGAAGTAATTCCAGCAGGTGTCTTCTCTGTTGCCTTTTTGACCTCCTTCTTTTCTAAGTAATTATTCGGTTTTGCACTAAATACAAAAACAAAACATTATAGTAATATTTTTGTCTTTATTGAAAGGAATATTTCGCTATGTCGTGGCTGTCAAGTGCAGAGAAAAAGGAGTGGAGAAAACACAAAACAAAAACGTCAATGAAACGTAAGTCCAAACTTTCTGAAAAAAAATATTTTGCACTCAAACAGGATCAACCAAGGAAATATATATAAAAAAGAGGAAATGGCTGAATGGAATGAATAAATTAGCACAGACACAAGAAATCTATTGTTATTAAGCGGAACATGTACCAAAAAGGTGACAAAGACACTTTTAACATGTATTACATGTTAAAGGGAACCTATAGTTCACAGGAAAAAGGCTTTCAAAATATATCAGGAAGTGCAAACTTCCCTGACGAGGAAGGTGAGCGCTGCAACGCAGATCAGAAGAAGAAAAACAAAAAGTGAAACAGAAAACAAGGATAAAAGAATCTGGACATCCGATGCCTTTGTTTTGCTTGCAGCATTGGTTATTATTGCTTGTGACAAGTCTGACATTTTTGTTTTGTAGCAAGTCTATTTCACATCACAGTGTAATCTCACGCTTTGCTTTGCAGATGCTCGATCCACACCAGAGATGCTGGAAAGTTATTTTTTGAACCCCAAATCTAAGTCAAATCTCAAGTCTCACCCCGATTCAGTCGCCTGTGAGAAAGAAACACTTTCTCGATGAATGAATGGATGTCACTGGTTGATAACGCTGGGTTATAAACAGTATCTTTTGGAAGTTGTCTGTGTTTTTTTTTTTTTTTTTTTCCAACTGAATTAGGACTATTTTGCATCGCTGAATCCAAAAAATGACGTCCATTTTTCTCAACCAGGTCAGGTTTTTATTCTAATATGATTTCGAGAAATCTGATCTTCTGACTAAATTGATTACGCTTTTGTGACATGAGTTCATTTCCTTTAATATTCCTTTTCCATAAAAAAATAAAATAAAATAAGGTTTTAGGAGAAAAAAATGGCTTTCTAATAGTGTATTAATTAAATGTTACAAACTTGGATTTCTGTAAAATGAATAATAAACACTGATAAGGGTGAGTACATGTGAATTGAACATTACATCATTGATCCCAGATCAATGATGTAATGTTAACGCATTGATGTAATGTTAAACTGATAACGCATTGAGAACAGATAACGCATTTTTGATGCTCATATTGCACCCATAGTTCCTAAAGTTGACCCGATTGAGCAAAACCAATGTGATTTTTGGATTCAGCTCATCAAAATGACTCTAAAAAAGTTGGAAAACCTCAAACTACTTTTTGGCCGTTGACCCCAGTGTAACCAAGCAGGTCCTTGATCCTCTTTTGGTTTCCGAAAAAGCTATTTTACAGGTTTCTTAAACAATGCGTCAACATTTGGATCAAATTTGGCTTAAAAAAAAGAAATTCGCCTTATATTTAAAGAAAACAAAGTATTGTGAGCGGCTGCATTCTGCAGGGCGAACGCCTAGAAGAATTCAGTAATGATGGAGATGACAGGATGGAAGACTGAGCTCCTACATGTTGGTCTCGAGAGCTGGACTCTGCTGCGTCTCCGTCTCCTCTCCGTTGGATTCGGCCGCCGGCGCCGAGGCCTCCACCTTTGGAGGCGGCTCGGTGGCGGTGGCGGCTTCAGGTAGGCTCCATGATGTCGTCTGGGTCATGTGACTGCCCCGATTAATAAAGCAGATGGTTTCTAGGTTAATAAATACTATTTTCGTCACTCCAGACAAGTTGAAGTTACGGATGGGAAGGGGATTTTATCCGGTTCTACTTCCTGAGCATTATGACACTCAATCGAAAATCCAAAAACAGATCTGCAGCATTAATGTGATGTTTCTCAGGAGCCTTAATGGTTTCACTTTCTGGCTTGAAGCAAATTTAGAAAGATTCAATGTTTTAATGTTCTCAGTTACAGATCATCTTCCTTTTTTCCGAGAACTGTGGAATCCCATCTGGAGTTAAATGCACAGAGCGTGATTCATCCTACATCTCCGCTCTTAATCCGGCCCAATCCGAACAGTTTTTTTTTTTTTTTTTTAATCAGATCCTGCTCTGTCAAGATCTGATTATACAGGAACCAGCAGGAAATTAAGGAAAGTTGTTGGACAATGCCTGCCATAAATAGTCAGGAGGTGTTTTTAACCTAAATAAGGAAGAATTGCTGTGTTTTTTTTTTTCTTCCTTTCTTTTTAGGAACCCGATGTTGGGATCTTACTTGACAAAGTATATGACTCCTTCTGTGGTGTAGGCCTGCTCCCAGCCATAAGGCGGACCTGGTAGGAGACAATAAAACATCTTGATAATTAGATAATTATTTTTGTTTCAAAGTACTTACACCTTTAGAGTGTTTCCACATTTTGCTGTGTTCCAACTTCTTCTATGCTAATATGTTCAATGGATGAAAACAAAATGCTCAGAGGACGCAAAACAGCAATGCTTTTAAAATAATCCTAGATAAAATACTTTAAAGACAATCTCAAAGAACAAAGTAAAACCAATGTAAGAGCAAAAATATGAAAAGCATCTCTAGAATCTGTTGTGCATTTTATCCTCTTATCAGACCCTTTGTTAGCTGACAGTGTTTTGATTGTTCTGTTCTGTGGATTTTTGTTTTGATGATTCTGGTTAGTTAGTTTTTTTTTTGTTTGTTTTTTTTATCCTTGTTGTTTTGTCCTCTAATTTGCCTGTTTATTCTTGAAAATCATAAATAAATAAATATAAAAAAAAAAAATATGAAAAGCATGCAGGAAACCGAAAGGAAACAACCAAAAAACTATTATAGGTAATAAATGACCATGACACAAACGGGAAGAAGTAACAGAAAGACAGGAATGTGGATATTGAGGGTGTGGTTGCTGGAAATAAATGGTTTGTGCAACAAAAGCATTACAAACTCAACTTTTTACTTCATGAGGGTTACCTGAAACAAATGACATCAAGAATGCAAACAATGTATTTTCAGCATGAATACAATCATTAATTAAAAGAATTTCTTGAAATCTTAAGTTTCAATGTCATTTTTATCATAATGTGACACGTGCACACAACTTCAGAAAACACGCTAAGAAATAATAATAATAATAAAAAAACAATAAAGAACTCCGGTTTGATTTGTCAGCCTCTCTACTTTATTTTTGTTTGATATATTGCTGAATTTAAGTTCCTCTTTACCGGCAGTTCAAATGACTGTGAGACTGCAGCCGCTGAAATACATGAATGAATGCATGCGGACTCTTCTCTCATCATCTCTTCATGCTGCATGTGAGAACGTGAACGAGCTGTCTCAGAATTCATGTCACTTTTATCGCTCGGAGTCTTTTTTTTTTTTTCAGTCCCTTCTGTCTCACGTTTTCCACGAACTCCGTCGTCTCCCTGCAGCTCCGAACAGCAGCTGACATGTAAGTACACAGAAGCAACAATGAAGTTCTCAACACAGGAAAAAAAAAAAAAAGAAAAGATGGCGGTGCAGCTAGCCTTGTTTTGCTCTGAATACTAACCGTGTTACGGTTCACTGACGAGGCGGTTGGTAATGGCGGGTCACACAAACAGATAAAGGTGCTAGCTAATATGCTAACACCTTTTTAAATCCGTTTCCCCCCCCAACAATCATCCTCGAATGGCTCCTCCATACGTCTGATGGAGTTAAGAGTGATCCATATTTTTATCCACTACTTTAGGGGTGTCAAACTTATTTTATTTTCGGTCTAAATTAAGATAATTCTGTCCTCAAGGGGCCAATTGTGACAGAATATAATTATAAAACTATCTATTAAACTGTTGAAATATTGTAGCGTTCTCTACATTCACTTATTAAAAGTCAATATTTAACATACTTTTACATTGATGTAGTTTGGCACTATTCAAATAAATACTAATTTGACTTTGGAATAATGTTTAAGCAAACAAAATTGCTCTCTTTAAGTTCTCGTTCTGTGGCCCTTTAGTGTCTATAGGGCCATAGAAACAGCTTTGAGTTTGACACTTGATGTTCTACTTGGTCTGAAAAAAGACATGGGATTAATACAACAATATGTGTTTAATAAAGCTGCTGTGTAAAATAGTTGTTTGTTTTTGATCTCAAGTAAAGCAGCTATGTAAGAGAATAACTACAGACGTTTTGTGAGGCTTGCTGCGTTTGTTGACCCAGCACCGGTTCCTCCCTTAAGCTGTTTTTCTTAGTCATCCAGTTTCATATGTCAGGTTGCCTGAAACTCAGTGAAAGGATAGCCTGTGTCTAAAAAAAGACTTGAGAATCCCTTAAGAAATAATGAAAAGCCAATAATAAACGATGCAGAAATAATTTCTGGATCCATGGTGATGCGCAGAACACGGTTGTAAAAAAAAAAAAAAGAAAGAAAGGGGACTGAACAATAGTTTCACTGCAGGTTTAAAAGTGGATTTCTGCTCCGAACATTTTAGGGAACAACATTCCTTTACCCGTTTCTGCAGGAATGACTTCACTTAGAGATGATCATTTATTATTAATGCGGCAGACAGCAGAGTTCAGCAGGTTCGTCCAGTTTACATACAGTGACTTCATGCGTTACATCTTCTGTTGAGTATCGGGCAAATCTGGTGATTTTAAAAGCTGTTTCAGTGGCCACGCTGCTGCTGCTGCTCCAGCTCTGTCTTCTTTTCAGTTTTTTCTCCTGTTTTGAAATACTGACCAATTTCACTCCCCCCCTTTCAGTGAAGCTCTAAATGCAGACAAGAGCTTTTCTCTGCTTTAAAAGCTAATTGTAACTTTAAAATAAATGAGCAGAAGCATCTGCGAGTCCTTAAATTATTCTAGATGTGCTTAAATTGATGTTCTATATTTTGTCTGGAACAGATTGCTGATGATTTTTTATTTTTATTTTATTTTTTTTAGCTGTACATAGAGTCCATCTCGTGGATTTTGCTTGGATCGGTCGGCCTTCACCTAAATATTATTTTTGAGCGTTGCCGGGGAAGACGTGGGCGTCCTGCCGTTGTCTCAGTCCCACAGACGTCCTTCGGCGTTCGTGGATAAATCGGGAGGGAGGAAGAACTGTGAGACCGAGCACGACTCACACAGAAAGTAGGTCAGCCTTTGCAGCACACATTCAGACACCGACACATTTCGTCGACGATGGTTTTAGACGGAGGTGCACAATGGGAAAGCAGGACGTTTCAGCAACAGGTGCGAAGTCAGGCTTAGACTTCCTACCGGTCGCTACGTGACGACTTTAAAATCTGTTTCCGGTTTTAAAAACATAATGAAATAGGCAAGTAAAACCACAACGAGCATTAAGAGAGTTACGCTGCAACTGATCCTGACATAAGGAGAACCTAAGAGAAAGGAGTGGATACTTTTGCTTTTTTTTTTCATTGATGATAAAGAAAAATAAGCAGTCATTGTGAATTTTCCCCCTTAGCGGAAAGCATCTGTGCTACAATACTCAGCATGGTCTGTGCTGCAGATTAAATTCCCCTTGTTGCCTGGAAACAAGTTGGGCTTTAGAATCTTAAGGCTGCTGACAGGACTTCTTTATCCTTCAGCAGTTTCTACCAATTGTAGAGCTATTGAGGTGTTTTCACTTATACCTGCCTCCTTACAGGCTAACATGATTTACACACTATTAAGCGACTAAAAGGAAGTTTAACCTCCAATTTACATAATTTGTACCTTTTATTTTTCCTAAATGAAGACTGGGATTGGGAGACAGAAGCACTGACTGTGCTCTTTCCACTGTGGCCATCGCCCAATTCAGATCATCAACTTGTTAGTCTTTGTGGTCGCAGCAGGAAGTCACATCTTCACAACAACTGGGCAATTAGCAGGAAGTAAAATATTCAGCGGCATCCACAGAAGAACGAGACGGGGAAAAATATTGCCATGACAACCTGTCATCCTTCTGTAGCTCTGTCCTCGGAAACGCATTTCAGGTGCGGCAAACTGGCTCACTCCAGACTTCTCAATGCAGATAGTTCAAAAGAAAAAAGAGCAACAACAACGTCCCAGCTTCTGCTTAGTAGTTTAAATAACACTTTGTCCAATATTACGTAACCCTGACCAACTTACCTGTAAGCTTTCCGATGTCATAAGCTTCAGATCTATCTGATAGGTCTGGTTATCCCGCCGGATAGAGTTTAGAATGAGGATCCGATTTCTGAAACAACTCAAGCTGTTTGGTTTGGGCTCCTTTCTTCCAGTGCAAAATTTTGTTCAATTTGGTTTATTTTATCTCAACTATTCCCTCGCAGCTATAGTTGTTGTCTCTTATATAAAAGGGCGTTGCTTCTAATTGTTTCAAAAATAAAGTACCGTAGTCTTTTAATTGGTCGGACTTACTCGACCAGGAAGTGACTCTCTCTCTGTGACGCTAAGGCTAGCGTGCCAGCTGTTGTCGTCCATCTTTTCCTACCAGTGCATCGGTGAAGCATCTGCCGAGGAAATTTATTATTCCAAGCACTGTTCCTGACAAGTATGATTTTCCTTTTCAGCTCATGCAAGGCAGTGCATCTTCTTAAGCTCACTTCTAAACACTCCCATCTGCCACAGAACCCAGAAAATTTCCGTGCAAGTCAAACAGCAGTTTTTCTTCTACATAGTGTTTTATGACCAACCTCATGATGAATCCAGGTATTCCTCTATAAAACCGCCTAAATATGCTTTTTTAACTGTGGTTTTACAGTTGCTTACAGACATAAACAAAGTTGTCCTCATCAAAGTTGTCTCTGCTAAACGGCAGAGTTTAGCACACCGCCTAAATATGCTCTTTTAAAATAGTTTTAATGTGGTTTTGCAGTTGGTTACAGACATAAACAAAGTAGTCATCAACGTTTCATTGGAGAAGCGCACGCGACCGTTCTAGAGCAGAATCAGCACCACGGACAGCAACAACCTAGGGCTCCGGTTCAAATGAAGCTCGAAGGTCATCGACGCTTGGGCACGCCGCGTCTCCGTTTCAACAAATTCTGAGATCGTGTTTGTAGAAAACTCGTATTGTGTTCAACAGAAGACGCTCAGTCTAATTTATTTCCTCTTGTTTCGGTTAGAGATGAGATCAACTAGATGGGCCAGAGAGATAAATAACCAAAACACCAAACGGTCAAAGGTTTTAATCAAGAAATGCCAAGTTAGATTTTAGTGGCGTTTGATGAAAATGTTGAACAATCTTGGAGTCATTTTAATGTGCTTCTATGAGTTTTGAAAATCTGAGGCAGTTGAAAATGTTGGACATTATCTATTTTGTAGATTCGGAATTGACAAGACATTATCATTTTGAGAAGTGCCACGATTTCCTGCTGGGTTCAAGATGTGTTTTAATCAAGCATCATCACTATCAGTATGTCACATCATTGACACTTAATGGCTATCTGAGTTGATTGGTCACTATAACTCTAAACAAGTTAACAATCAGAGCTGATTTGGAGCCACAGGTCTTTGGAGAACTGGAAGTGTCAGTTGGGAGAAAAAAAGATAGGAATAGCACATAATAGTGTTCGAAAAATATGTTAAAAGACCCATACTTGTTCTGATTCGATGTATCCACAGACCTCTGTAGCAAACATTCTAATTTCAACTCATCTTTCTACATTTTTGGCCGTTTCGACTCAGAAGAAACCAGATAATGGTTTTTTTGGTTTTCAAATCAAAATATTTATTTCATCTGATTGTATCAATCACAGCCCAGCTGGTCAAACAGAGCAAGCAGCTTCACAAAGCTGATCCTGGTTACAAAGAACAACTCATGGTCCATTGACCTTGAATCTGAAGATTTACTCCGAAAAGGAACGAACAGCTGATAACTCCAGACAGGACGGAAGCGTTCCCACCGCCGTCACGGCTTCCCTCCCTCCCTGGCGTCTGTGGGTACATCAGGCGAGCTGGAGTTTCTCCTCGTGTGCCGCTTCACGGTATTGCTTCATCTTCTTTGGCTAATCTACTGCACTAACACGAGCGTTCAGCCTCTAAGATACAAAGCTAAACAACTGAGCAGATTAACAGTGATAGAAAGTTACAGAGACTTGGATCCTACGCGTGTGGGTTCTGGACGGAGTATGGCATCCGTTCTTTTTTTATTTTTTATTTTTATTTTTAAACTGTGATGCTGAGGTTTCTGATCTCTACGGGTCGGTGAAGATGCTTACCGATGAGAGAAGATGGGACAGAGTTAGAGGACCACACCAACGTCGCGGGAGTTCCACCGACTGATCGCTGCGAAATCAGATCAGGGGGTCAAACTTTGAAACATTCATGTTGTCCATCAGGTTTGTGGGGTTTTTTCTGCAAGAATGTTCTGGCGCAGCTTTTTTTGTTCTGTTTTGTTTTGTTTGTTGGTTAGTTAAAATGTTGATATGCAGAAACGCAGCTGCAGACTAGCATGTGTCATGCAGGTTTGCCGCATGGAATTCCAGTAGCAGAAGGTGAGGAGGTGAGGAGCGGCAGCGAGGAGAGAACGAGGCCGCTGACGACTGGTGTCCTGCAGGAGGTGCTCCTCTAGAAGGTCAGCACTGAAACGGGGTGGGGAGGGGGAGGACAGTCACTCACGGTGGCAGCCTTCAGCTTCGTCCGGTGGTAGCGGCATGCGGGGCGGCATGGAAGACGGAGAGGAGAAGGAGAAGAAAGAAGAGGAGAGGAAGACCTCTCACTTACAGTCCACCTCCAGGACGGCTCTGACGGACCGCGTGAGCTCTTTCGCCTCCTGGGCGAGCGTGGCGGCGGTCCACGGGCTTTTCCTGTAGCGAGGGGGGACGCCGTGGGACGATGAGCCGGCTTTGACGTCTCCGGAGCTGCGAACACAGGCGAGGCGGGGTCAGCGGAGGGAAAAAGTGCAACTCAAGGAGACCCCCCGGAAATACTTCCAGAGGATTCTGTTAAACTGACCACAAAACAGTAGAAAAGTGACTAATGGTTGTAGCAAAGGATTCCTTTACATGGGACGCCATTGACTTCTCTTTTTCTCCCTAGGTCGATTAAGATTATCCCTTCTAAAACCAGATGGCAGACAGCATCAATCATAGCGAGGCACAGAGTGGAGGTCTTAAACTAATAAGAGTTTTTGTGGTAACACTTTATTTGAAGGGGTGTGCATAACACTGTTAAAAACATTACATAACATCTGTCATGAACATAAAGAAGTCTTTATGAATGTTTATGACTGTTGTCATGAAGTGTCATTCGGTAAATAATGACACTTTTAATGGACTTCTAGAGCAACTTTGCATTAAAAGTGTCATTATTTACCGAATGACACTTCATGACAACAGTCATAAACATTCATAAAGACTTCTTTATGTTCATGACAGATGTTATGTAATGTTTATGACGGTGTCATGTCATGTCAGTCTTAAGCACACCCCTTCAAATAAAGTGTTACCGTTTTTGTTTTTGGTAACACAGTGGGTATTGGGTTAAGTTTTCCTTTTCTGTGTTTAGTTGGCATGTTGTTGCAGAGCAAGCCTGGATTTTCTTTGGGTACTTCCAGATTATAGTTTAGATCTAAGGGCCAAGCCCAACCAAAACAAGACCCAAAATTCTAGACGGATTGGGTCATAATTATGTGCTTGATGGTTTGAATCCTGGTGTTACAGTACAAATAGAGACATAGATAGTTAACCTGTTAAGGAAATAAAGAAGATGGGGTGACAAAAGTAAGTCGGACTGTAAACAAAGGCAGCGCACTGAATGCAAACGCTGGGTGGGATTCATAACGTAACAAACGATAGCATAACATGAGGAGCGAAAATAAAATGTATTTTTACTTCCAATTTGTAAGGTAATTGGGACTGAAATGTAACCTACCCAATCAGATTCAGTACAAATTGTTCCTTCAACTTTTGAGGGTACATTCTACAGGTGTTTTTTTTTTTTTTTTTTTTTGGGGGGGGGGGGGGGGGGGGGTGTTTTTTTTAGGTGGGGAAAAAAGTCGCCCCCCCCCCCCTTCTTTTTTTAAAAA